TAACAAAAGATACTTTTATGACTTTCTCCACATGCAAAACATCCTTGGCTCTGGACGTAGACAACAGCCGTAAACATGCACTAATCCGTGACGACACACAGTCAGAAGACATCTTGCTCTCTAAAGGCCTTCCAAGTCTTTTTCAGTAGTCACATTGTCTTCAGCTGCCTGGCGTCATGGGGCAAGTTACGTCAGTGACATTTTTCCCCTCAAACTCTTGACTATCATCAATAATGGCCCCATACACAGGTTGCATCACTTATAATAGCTGAAAATAAGAAATCTGTCTGTCGTCACATGCTGTGAATCTTATGTCTGTGAAAGTGTCTGCGGAAGTAAGGGCTCCACTCTGCATGCCTCTGGTCAGAACATAAGGGGTGATAACATGAGGGACTGTACTACTGTTTAAATATTAAAGAGAGCTGAATAAATGCACTTAATATCCAATGCAGGGTTTGTTTTTGTTTTTTATGTGCGTGTTGTCACCTGCGTTATAAAATAAGGTGGTAATAAACGTGTGAGAGCATAGTCTGACTTGTCACTGACCCAAACAATGAGCAAGTATTTTATTATTGTGCAGCTGCTGGCTAATAAGTGCATTCAGCTTTGACCTGACATTATGCTGTACTTGTACTCTTTGATCTACAGCCTTTTCCCACTTGCTCCTTCGCTCCTTTTCCATTTTGCCATTTAGTTCATCCCCGTAGGCCTGAACTCACAATAGCAGCCTCTGACAGATAAATGACTATTACAGTTTCATCACTCTTCTCTCAGTAAATCGAGGGCCATGGAGGATGGGACATCACAGTGCATATAATGAGACCATTCAGAGATTGATCTTCTATATGTTGGCCTGTAACCAGTTATTGATATTACACCGGGCAATAATATCAGAGACTGCAGATTGTCTCTGTTGTTACCTGTCAGAATATGTTTTAATAAAGACTTGACTTGTGCTAACATGGACACAATGATATGTGCGCACGTTCTGTCAATGATATTGGATTGTGCTTAGAAGAACCACAACAATAATTTTGTTCAAATATTCTAAAGCATATAAACATGTATTCACTTCATCATTTAATGCCTTCAATCATGTGTGAGTTTACATAACTGTAAACGTGGGGTGGAGCAAATGGTTTCACTTAAGGCAAGCAAAAAACCTGAGCTTTGTGTGACCCTTGGTAATGAAAAATAACATGCTCCACAAAAATATTTCCACTTGAGGGAGGATGCAAACAGCTCCACATTATCAGCACTATACACCTATAAATTGCACCTCCAAACTCAGATTTGTACATCTGTGTGAGTTAAGGCGACTTGCTTTTCACTTAGCCCTTTTCACTTCCATATTTTGTTCCCTTTGTTTTATCTCTCTAATCTTTTAATTTCCTCTTAATATTGTTTTAGCTATCTAGATGACTTTGGCGTCTGAAACTACATGGTGGGGGAGGAAAATGGTTCTTAAGGATACATTACAACCATGATGTCTTGTCTTATGACCTGTTCCTTGTTCATCTTTTTTTTAGTGCATTCCAGTTTTTCAAAGCTTGTTGGATTTCATTACATGGAGCATTGATGTGAAAATGTGGTAAAACTAGAAAAAAAACTGCAGACTTCAAGTATTTGTGCACTCACAATGCTGTGGTTATGGAAGGGCATAACCTACTGAGCCACTATTATTTTAGGATCTATAGGTAGCTTGTGGAATACAGTTGATCTCAGAGGATAGGACCCTGATCACCATGGCAACACCAGGGCGGAGGTCAGATGATTGTCCCTGGGTGACTCTATAAATGTCCACGTTTTCCTGTTTTTGAAAGAATTTGACATTTAGAAAGCAATTTGGTTTAGGGAAGCACATGTAACAAGAAAGTGTCCAAGTGTATTCATTAGCATATATTGTATGTAGATTGCTTTTTTGTTATAAGAATTTAGAATATTGTCTAGGCCTTATCTATAGGCCTTGTTTATAGGCCTATTTATTTCAGATTATAGACCCAGAATAGATTCCAAAGTGTTTATAGATCTAATCTGTGTAATTATTTGATTACAAAAACACAAAACACAATTTCCAAAATGAAGCCCAAATTCACAACACCTGACTCTTGAGCCAATACCTCTCATTGTGGTCATAATGTGGAGACGCAGAGCAGACACAACACAATTAACCACTAGACAGTCTTAATGTGTATTCATATAACACTGCAAGCACAAGGTGTGAGGGGGAAAGCCTTTAGCTAACTTGATTGCTCATTTGCTGCTTTATGAAAAGAAGCTGTTTATTTTACAATAAAGTGTAAATCGCAGAGTTCACTGACCCAGAGGAAAAAGTCTCTGTGGCTGCCTAAGAGTCTCTAATAGAAATGCCAGGCCCAGTATCCAATGCAATGAAACATGCTTTTATCCTATCAGTGGACTAACTGCCAGCAAGACCTTAAATCAAATCTACTCAGTGGGCAAAGTACAATCTTCACTGTTTGACCTCTGACAGCCATCGAAACACACAGTATGTCACACTGAAAATGTACAGTGCAGTACCAGGCTTGAACATGAAATTATTCCTTATATCCTATCTCACAGTGGTAATTTAATGTGCCCCAAACTGTTCTCTAACTTGAGTTATTGTTTTGTTATCTGTTTGGTACTGATGAATACAATACATATTTCCATGATGTCTGGATGTAAGGGATAGGCTTGTTGGCTATCCCTAACAGACTTGTTTAAAGGTTGTCTAGACACTAAGCTGTCTCTACTTTTCATTTACATATATTCATACTGTACAAACTTTCTATGGTTCAATGCAGGAATGGCAGAGAAAATTAATTCAGAATTTCAGATCAAGATTTCATTACAATTGATGTTACATAGTTCACATAGCTAAAGAGCTGCTTTAAACATAGAAGCACTGAGTCATCAGACTATCACTAAATTAGCATATTGTTGCCACAGGTATGAGATCACAATTTGATTTTTACTGTTATATGGACCAGGTGTAGTTGAGTGAATCACATACAGTACCTTTGTCAACACATTTTAATTTTCTCTTTACTTCATGGCACCTAAAAATCCTTTATGTGTCTATGCATTATTAAAAGCCTTGTTTTACAGTACAGTCGATCATGCTAAAACTATAGTAAACCTGGGACCAAATGTGGCCCTCAGACCCATTTTGCTTGGGCCTTAAGGCTGGGAAATGGCCCAAATGACCAAAAGCAGTACTTTTTGACAGCAAGTTTTAAAAAATGTATGTGTCATGTTGAAGATCTAAGCATCAATGCAGATCTTGTGTGCTAAATGCACCCATTTGAATTATTCACAGTATTGACCACCAGCCTATGGCCCTCAATTGGCCCTCCACTTCATCTCTTTCAATATGAAAAACAGTTTGGACAACCAGGGCCTAAATCATTGTTAAAGGACATTTATGGAATGTTGAAGACAGTAGAATATTGTGATAGTGAGAGGCCCCTGTCTGTTGTGTGTGCACTTTGTGTGCTTGTGTGTCAAAATGGGCGCGTGTGAGAGGAAACAAATGTATTTGACAGGACAGGTGGTTCCATTGTGTCTCGGACCATATCTTCAACAGTCACCGGCTATATATGAGGGACAAGGACAGGATGATACAGTCAGGAGGGTACAATATGATGAGCTGTGAGTCAGATTTGGTTAATTAGTTAAATATAAATGCTATGACTGTGTCCAGGGGGAATTTTCAAATGCAAAACTGAAGACGGTAACACACACACACCAAATCCACTAATGCATAATTTATCTGCCCTGGTCTTATTCATGCTTTCTTTTTGAGAAATATATGATATATATGTCAACATATAACAATACCATCATAGTTTACTTTTAGATTAAAAGTTTTGTAGTTTTTTAGTAGTAGATATGATAATGTGACATTTGTTTCGACTGGCACAGAAATGAGAAGCAGCACTGAAATGACTTTCTATATGCATTCTTTCTTAAAAAGGTCAACTCACAGTATGTAAACTCAAGATTATTTCAGAACCAAGCACATATATGATTTAACAACATCTGTGCATTATTTTTGAGGAAGAATGTTAACATTCCACATGTTTTATTAAAAATTTAAATTTCTTTAAAGTAACTGTTTTTATAGTTTCATAGCTACACACATTAGGAAAGACAATAGACACTACATTCCATTTAAACAATAGACATACAGATAGCTATAGGGGCACATATTTTAAGGTAATTTAACCATAATGATCCTTCTGTTATTCAGGAGTTGCTAAGAGGTGGTACATGCATTAAAAAAAAAAAAGCATAGCATTTAGATATCTTTCTTTTGTTTACCTGTAAGGTGTCATAGTGGTTAACATTTATCTCACTCAGTGGAAACAGATCATTTCAATGTGTAACCAAGATGATGCTTTCATGCATACTGTTATTGTTCTCTAAGAAACTGTTAAAGACATTGTGTCCATATTACTTCCTTATATTATTCAAATGGTGTTGTCTGTGTTTTCCTTCTGTTATATGATAGGCTTATTTTTAGGCTGATAAATGTGTTTATGCTTTGTAATGAATGAAAAATAAACCATAGAAATGTACACATGTATCTGTGAATGTACACATGCTCCTTGTTCCTAGTTAAAAGTTTAGCTGATTCTGACATTCTCAAACAGAAAAGCACAACTGTGTAACCTCCTCTGACATCTGCTCTGTCTAAAGGCCACTGGCTCTTCTGGAGATGCTCTTTGTTATGCTGCTCAGGTTTTGCTATTGTGTAAATGATTTCTCAAGCCATACCACTTGACAGCTCTGATATCTTCTCTGCTCAGTGCTATTGTATTACCATCTATTTAAGTATTTTTTAAGGTTTGATGTCTGTTCAATTGGGTATCTACTTTTGACCCTGCGGTGTTACAATTTTATCCTTGCCTGACTGACAGATGCTACATTTGCCTTTCTAGGTAAAACTGTTGTGCAGTAGTTAATAGTAATATATGTATTTATGTCTTTTGCAGATGTTGGAGCCCAAGGTGGATGCCCCTTCTTGTGAGCTGGGCAGTGCTGGAGGAGGTGGTGTGTGTCTACACCTGCCGCCCCGCAGCTCTGAGGGTGAGGAGAGCAGCCTGTACCCCTCCAGCCCGTCAGAGCCCCCCACTCTGGGCAGCCCGCACACCTCAGAGCCCCTCACTCCTCTGGATGAGGTCTACATGCCTCTGGGAGGAAGCCTGATGGGCTCCACAGAACGACACAGGGTTCCCCCTACACCGCCTCCTTCCACAGAGGGCGAGGACTACAAGAGCATGGAGGGGCACGAGATGGATCTGTGGAGAATGGGGAGAGATGAAGAGGGGCTGAACAGCAGAAACGATGAGTACGAGGAATGTGTGAGCAGAAAGAGTGTAGAAAGTGAGGAGAAGGAGGGGGCAGTTGAGGAGAGAAACTGTATGGAGAACCTGGTTGTGCTGAACACTGATGAAGACAATGCCTCAGAGCCCCCTGACACAAATGCACCCCCATCATCTTCATCCTCTTCCTTCGTCATCCCAGAGCTTCGCCTGGATCGCTCCTTCAGTGCTGACGCCCTGTCCTCACCCAACACCGATGAGGAGGAGTATGATGAGGATGATGAAGAGGACTCTGATGAAGAGGAGGATGAGGATGAAGATGACAGTGATGATGCGTACTTGCAGAGAAGTGACAGTAAGAGGCGCAGTATGGTGGAAGGGGCCACCTGTGAGAAGCACGGAGGAGGAGGGCTGAGTGTCCAGAACTCTCTCCGCCGACGCACACACAGTGAAGGCAGTCTGCTCCAGGACCCCCGCACACCCTGCTTCACATCAGACAACGCCATCAACTGTCTGGAGGCTGGTGGTACACACAAGGGAGGCTGGACGCTACCTTCTCCCAAAACCCTGAAGAAGGAGCTGACTAAGAATGGGGGGTCCATGCATCAACTCTGCATGCTCTTCTCTGGGAGGAAGGTAAGACCAAAAAAATGTTTTAAACATTTAAGCTTTCTTTTCATAAAATGCTACTTATCAGTGATCAATGTTAACACGTAAGCTCTAGTTTATAATGGTAACCCTCACTTATATATATAAATAACAAAAAAAAAAAAAAACATTGCTACAATTAGAGTCATTTGCTACAATTTTGTAGAATTTTCATTATAAATCCTCTAAAATTATATTTTTTAAAAATATTTTAATAGTCATAGATAAGATTGCTTCAGCTCAAGGTTCATCACAATTTGTTCTGAGAGAGTGACATCAAGTGGTAAGATAGGGATATTACACTCAAGGCAAACACAAGCAGTTCTTTTCCGTTCTTTATATAGCAGCCAGCTATATATTCTTAGGATTTGAATATTTTATTGGCGTCTAATTTAAACATACATACCCTGTGTATGCTATAATCTGAAGCCTATATAGATAATGAATTAACATGAAAATAGACTACTGAAATATTGACTGTGCATGAAAAGGCTCTCAAGCTTGTCCTATAATCACATTTATTTTGTGCTATGTGATGCAGCAATGTATGCTACTTGACTGATATTTTTAGAGAATGTTCATGTCATCAGTCATGATAGTAAACCATAAATAAAATGTTCTGCAATGTTTAGATATTCAATCTAAAAAATAAATAAATAAAAAATTTAAAAAAATTGAGGCGCTTAAGTGTTGAGTATATCAGTTTATTATGTTACTAAACTCATTATTTTTTCTATTGCTCCATAGATAACAGCAGTATTTGCTATATGTTATACTGCCACAGGACCCTAGGGGGCATTGTGTCGTTTCTCATGAGGCTTGTGATGATGAGTAATGAAAAACAGGATGCTTCTCCCAGTGTGTGTTTTTAATGATAGGCATTATCAGACACATTATCATACATTTATTACATTTCATTTCTTACATTTCACCTTACTTCACTTTGACATATCCCAGTGCATCCTTTATCACTGTGGTTCCTACAGTTATGCAATACTCAGATCTAAACTGCGATTAGCCCAAAAGAGAAGACAAACTAATTAAGTGTTGACTATATGAGGGGCTCTGCTCCTCTCTATCCATCTGTGCTCAGCCTGCCGGCTTTGCAGCCTTAAATGGCAGTCTGTGGGAGCAGTGCAGAGGCAGGAATGTAGCAGACAAGGCCAGAGCCTATTGGTCTTGGCAGATTCAGGGGTAATTTTACTACCTATTGGCGTCATGGACACTTTTGCTTTGAGGGCTTTGTTTCCATTTTTAACTAATCTATCACAACTACAATTGCACATCTTGTGAGATCTTCACAGACAAAGCATATAGGCCTGGCCTGGACCCAGTGAACATTTACCTAAATGTCAGAGGAATACTCCATGCCTAAAAAAGGCTTAATTGTCCTTTAGTAAGACTGTGTAAATATTACTAGTACACTATAGGTTGTTATCAGTACCATAAAGGCACAGCTTTGTAATACTACATTATACAGATTTTCCACTTGAAGCTCTTGATGCTTAATGAAAACATTCTATGAGATTCCAAGGCTTTAGAGCCCTAATCACCACAATAGCAGTATTATACCATTTAGTGAAACAACCACATTGGACATTGTTGAACAAAATGGGACATAATGAAATGGTGGCCTTCAACAGTTTATAGCTTGAAGCAACACAAGAAATTCAGAGAATGAGAAATCTCTTTACCCATCACGAGGCAGTTGTGAGGTGCTATAGTTATTAAGTGTACAACTGCTGCCTGCAAATAAATACAAATCTTTAATTTATTTTATTTATCACAGACACCAGAGGAAAATTTGCAATCGATTTAAGTTTTTTCATTTATATAAAATTAGGTTAGCAGGCTTAACAGGACCTGGTGTGCACATGTCTCAGGTCACGTGCACACATTAGAATATTTGCAGTAGGTCCAAGGAGCACAGCCAGGTGACATACGTCATCAGAGGAACTGGCATGCATCAGGTGTGATCTGTTCAACCAGTATCAGACAAGATCCTCTGTCAAAAATATGCTTGGGTATATGCTTTTTTTTTTTTTTACTGGTGTAGACAGGCTACTTTTAGGCCCTGTTTACTAGGCAGCACTGGCCACAAAAATTTGATATGCACTTAGTAAATATTTCAATGGCCAGGATGTGTGTATACTTTAGTACATTAAAAACATCAAAGTAGTTTACTTAGTTGATGAACTTCCAATAAATGTGTTGTAATTACAGCCAGAACAAACAATTCCCCCAAACAATTGCCTAATACGCAAGTGTTAGTAAACCCTACATACCCTCATGTGCTGGTATCTAATGTTTACTTGTACAAAACATCCAACATAATAGACTTGGCACCAAAAATTACAGACAGCAGACTTTGACCAGCAATCTGGTATTAAGCTTTTAATACCAAAATAATGTACATGTAATATTAATGGTTTAAATGGCAGGAATTATGTTTTATGTATGTCTTAAAAAGATTGCTGATTGGTATTGTTTTGATTTAGAGAAGCATGACTGAACAAAAAGTCTCTGAGGTCTAGGGCCAAGTGGTTATGTTCAGTGAAATCCTGCACACAAAATATTTACAGAGCTGACATCACAGCACAAGTCAATAGCGGGTCACCCACATAGTCCCAAAAACATGTACTAAATGTCAATCTGCTGCACAATGCCAGTCAATGCAAATACATTGACCACATTGATGTGGAAAGTCTCCTCTGGAATCAGAGGACCAGAGGAATAAAGTTCAATAGAAAAACAACAACAACAACAACAACACATAAATACTAAAATAATTGTGGTATCATTGTAAAAAAAAAAAGCACTCTGCCTTCCTATGCATAGTTTTAATGCAAAACAACACTGTTATATCCTTATTACACATAAATCTGTTTACTTAAATTTACCAAGCATAGAAATTGGAAGCATGAAACTTCTATGGATCAGTACCAGAATGATTTGCTTACCTTTGCTTTCTTTTACAATCAATATAATGACTCAGCAAGAGATATGTTGCATTCAAATCATATTGAGTTGAATAACTGTATTGTAAAAAAATATTCCCAATATTCCCACCCCTAAAAGGGAAAAGGAACCCACAAAGAAGAAAAACCTTGTCCAGTGGTGAGTTTTGTTATGATTAAATTTTCTCCAGTTCAAACGTTCTCACACACACTACTTTTTGGTGCCAGGAAAGTTATGACTTCAACGCTTTACTTTCTCGCCAAATTTAATCTAGAAAATAAATCACGGGACTCCTTACATAAATCTTGCGAGCATGTACTAATCCAACTATTTCAGATAACTTTGTTGGTTATAGCTTTTCAGATTAGACTACTGCCACTTCTTGCCAGACAGCCAGTGCAACATTCTGGTGTGGGAACCTGCTGTTTCCATCCATTAGTGTAATCTTGTACATGATGTAATGGCCTGCTTTGAAGGCTCCTGCAAAAGATCATTTGTGCTGGTTGTTTGACTTTCGAGGAGACTGAGTAACATGAGAAGAGGAGGTCAGGCATCAAATTTCATGGTAATTCCATCTGTAGTGTAGCCAACTGATTCCATATGTGTCAAAGAGAAAAAATGCCCTATGCAGTGATATGTGACAGTAATGATAATTGCAGCAGTGACTTGGTTATATTGATTATACTTATCTTTCTCTGTCTTTTCTTTTTTAGTTGGTCAAGATAAGGCCATGTGATTGTAATTAAATAATTCTGTAACATAATGAGTGACTATAGCTGGCAGAGCAGTTTGGATTATTTTATTAGCATTATTTTCAGGCTTCACAAACTCATGTGCTATTTGTGCCTGAATAAATCAAATTCAGTCAAAGCATTTCTCATAAAGATTGCATTGTTAAATATTGTATAATGTTACAGAAAAGTAATTCTTGTGAGCTTTAAATCATGTTAGAATGTTTTAACCTTCTCAAACCACACCCAGATGTGTCTTTTGTTTCATGCACACATGTTTCAGTAATCCTTTATTATTCTGTCTGCATCCCCAAAGTTCAAAATGTTACTTTCCACCTTATGATGTAGTGGTAGTTTTCAAGTTAGGAGCTACCTTTGACCTTTAGTTTAGTAGATATGGACAACTCCAGGACTGAAATTATCCAAATACTGAAGGTGATTTCAGTTTGAGAGAAGAACTAAAAATGCTGAGGTTGGGTGTTTAACATATGTGAATGAAACAAAACACAGCTCCAGATAGGTTTTGATGAAGAAACATTATAGATCTGAGAATGTTGTAATATAGACCCTTTAATGGCAAGTAGGGACGATGGCTGTGCTCTCCAACTGTTCCTATTAATGCATGTAGAACAAATTACATTTTTTTCACTTTTGCTCAAAACTCGTTTAACATTGACTCTCATGCCCACAGTTAGCTTGGTTTGATCACCTGTTAAAGATCACGCCATGGACGCTGTCATGGCTATAACAAAATCGTGTCCTGATGATGGCCTCATACTAGACATGATCCAGAAGGCCCCCAGTGTTAGTTGTGTCTCTGCAAGCGCTTGTTGCCATAGCAGTGTTTTGGATGAGTCAAGTCATTTATAGATTGCATAAATACTATTAAATATACAAATCTCACCTCACACTTTGCAGTCTGAAGCGATAAAGGGCAAATGGAAAGTTTTTAACTAAATACTGACTTCTTATGTTTGATTGATTTTGCTCTGCTTTGAGAATTTCAATAGTGTTGTCACAATACTTAATCATAATAGTTCATTATACTAACATTTTTGATGCAAGGAAAATGGTTCATACCAAATCTGATACATTTTAAGACAATAGATTGACTAAATAATAGTAGTAGTGGTATTTAGTAGTTCTGATTATAGGCTGTTGATTCAATGATTGAAGTCCTTTTTGTTCTGTATAGATTCTTATAATTTGTTTTTATCATTTTCTTTAAGTATATAATTTATGGCCATAATTCTAAAACCTTTTTTCAACTACATAAGACCTTTAATTAATCTGAAAGAGCACAGTGATTTACACTGTTGTATTATGTAACATTTTAAAGTGATCAACTTAAGCATCCTTAAATAAAAGTGGCATTGCTACTGTTGTCCAATGACTGTTTAAGGAAACATCTCCACACACCATCTTGAAAAGGACCAAAGGGTTTAGTCCTGCACCAAAAGGACTAAACCCTCTGTACAAAGCCTTCCATGTGTCATAAAAATGGTACATACTGTAAGAATTTGAGAACGCATTGTTCTTGGCCAACTATGTAGCCCACACCATGAGGGCTAGGCTGACCAGGTCTTAACCATGCAACAATGTAGTACCAAACACAAAGTCAAACTGGATAATACTGTTAGAGACGCAGCATAAATTGGAAAAAAAAGGGAAACAATAATACTATTTTAGTCCTTGATGTTGCAATCAAAGGTGTATTCTGGAATAAATGATTTGATCAAAGTAATTTCCTGTCTTACAACTGAAACAGAATCACAGCTACTGGCAACAATAATTACAATTTTATATCCGCTTTTTTCACTCGTGTTTAAACCAGGAAAATTTCAGAATAGAGTCCATTTCCTCCCCCAAGGTCTGACTTGTTTTTAGCAGATACCGATATTTGACTTCCAGTTGTTGCCGATAATCGATATTTGCTGATATCAATACAAAGATTTAAAATCTTTTGTAAAGGTCCACAAGTTGAAGTTATGTTGTAGTAAAGATCACAAATATCACAAACATTTTACTTTTGTAAAAAAAAAAAAAAAATAGCACTACCCATAGTTGTGACTGTTTGAAAGGAATTGTCAAAAAGGCAAAGTAAAACATATTTTACAGGGTAATATTTGGAGCCTGCACCATTGTGAAAGACGGCCAACTTTTATAACTCACAGTGTCACAACAATGCAAAGACCCACCAGGAAATAGTCTGTGTCTTAGTAGAAAGGAGAGAAACTGATGAGGTCAGCAACAACTCCTTTTAACATGGAGGGACATCAGCAAGCCCA